AAGAGAAGTATGTGGATAAAGGAGCAGATTACTGCAGATAATTCAATGAGTTGAAAACCTACAAATTGTCGTTTATCTTCTAGTATGCTTCTAGTTGTAAATTCTGTCTCGAATCCCCCCCCCCTCTACATGAACCTGCTATTTCATATTTGCAATTACAGTGGAGTTTAATTTTTTCCAGCCTAATTGCTTTCATCGGATCAGCTTTTTAACACCTTGCCAATTTGCATGAATGGGTTTATCTAAACTGAAGCATAATGGTTTGAGGAAACATTTCTATTAGAATTCCGGTTATTTAATCCACTTATACTTAACAAGATGATATATAATTCCAAATATTTTGATTTCTTTGACTTAAAATTATCTTTTCACAACAACCTAAGTATGGCCGTGTTCACTATTGCCATCACAGAAGACAATTCATAGGAGCTAGAAGGTGCCTATTTACTTAAAAGCAACAGTTCTTCTCCGATTTTGGAAAGAAGAAGGTCTCTAATTCAAACAGCAATTCTTCTGCAAAGTTATTTATTGACGTTTTCCGGATATGTTGCACAATTTCAAATAAAAAAATTTGATTAGTGAAAAGACGTTAGAATCAGGATGATTAGGGTTACACTTACATTTGTTCACATGTCAATTTGGACCCATGCAAACCTTACGTTATTTTAATGAAGTCAGTATTCCCCACAGAATAATTCTTTTATGTACTTAATCACTGAGTATAAAATTGTGTTTATAATGCTAAAGTCATCAACTTTGCTCCTCTTTGGTGTCTCCACTTTCCAATCTCATGACGTTAACTTAAAGATGCCTAACTTTGAGATGTTACAATACTACGGTATTTGTTAAGCATAGTTACTGATTCGACTGGGGCTTTATTAAGAACGCATTGTTAATTAGATGTTATGTACAAATGACCTCAAGTTGGCCTTTGCCTATGTGCCGAAAAATTGACACGGCAACAATACAGAAAGAGGTCATTTGAGGGCGGTATCAATTTACAGTTGATTTATTCGGAAAGAAATCCACATCCTTCCTTTCAGAATTTATAAGAACAATGAATTATTTTCCGACAAGTTCCATCACTTAAGCGTCATTTATTATTGCAAGAGAAACTGACTACAAATAAAGTTTAATTTGTTTAAAGAAAGAGTAAAGCAGTGCGAAAAGTATTCATGGTTGGGAAGGAAGGAAAAATTAAAAATCGAAAAATATCACAACAATCACATGAGAAATTCCTAATTCTATCAAATTGATTGCCCAATCTTTACAATGTAAAATATTCATAATGCTCACTTATGCATGCATATGTAACATACCGTTGCAGTTTCATTTAGTACAATATAGAATAATTTCGAATACAGAACATTACTATAAGAAAAAGGCAATCAATTTCGATGACCACGCAAAATCCCCGTGAACTCAAATTGGACGAAATTCCTTTAGCAATCAATGAGTAAAACTTTACGTCAATTTATACTTCAGGTCATTTATGTGATATAATTCGGAAGCGACACATTATTTTTAGCTTTAAAGTTGTTAAGTAAATAAGGAAGCTACGTGTATAGGATTTCAAAAAGGTTACGAAATTCTAAATAGCTCCATATGCAATTAGGACTCGAGATTTTTGGAAACGCTTGTTTAGTGCTTAGCTTTCAAGGAAGAGGCCCGAAAGATGTGGATGCTGTCAACGGTGTGCATGCATTTATTGTTTCTTAATCCCAACCAAGTTCAATTTTTCTGATTGACCAAGTTAGAAATTTTGTACGGTAGAACATTAGCGCTAATGCAGAATATGACAGTGATAGTTTATAAATACTAATATTTATTTAATTGGGGTGTGCGATAGACTTACCTCCACGTGGTGCACCCTGGGCAACGTATACTCATGCGGCAAAAAAGTCTATAAACCGGCAGTTGACTTCTGAGTTCAAGCTATCATGACCCCACTGTATGTCATATTCGACCACTTTCACAGTACTCATCTCAACTTTCATCTACCTTTGTGTCTGTCTCTTTTACATCTTTGAAACACTCTTCTGTTCACCCCTCCTCTCGACTTTTTTCGATTTGATGTTCCTCTCCCTCTGTGAAGCCTGAAGTCAACTAAAGGGCTAATGATAACTATCATAAAGCCTGCCATTTGATATAAATACATTTCTTTAATTGTATTCACTGCCGATGTACTATCCATACTCTTTTACATCTGTGAATCACTCTTCCATTTCTTCTCCCCACTTTTTTGACTTTGTCTGTTCCTCTCCCCTGTGAACCCCGAAGTCAACTAATGTGGTAATGGTAAATGGTGTGAAGTCTGTCATTTGATATAAATAAAATTCCTGTAATTCAGCTCGGAAGGATATTAACTTTCACTTTAATTCTTTTCCAAAGTTGTAAGCAAAATTCCGATTGATATTTGGCTAGTTCACGTTCGCGAAATTGGTGATTAAATTTGAATATCTGCAAGTAAAGTCCATTTCATAAGTGACATCTTAAACAAGAAAAAATAATTTCTCTATGGCGAAAAAGCATACATTTTTGTAGGGATACCATGAAGCGCTCTTATACACGATAAAATTATAATTATGCCTCGGGATGAGTAGATGTATCTTTCTGGCGTTGTAGCAGAAGTAACAGTGAATATAATTGCTCTCCGTCTGTTCGAGTTGACTTGGGATAGGCGGGGGGAGAGGAGGGGTGGGGGGGGAGGGGTATAAGGGAGAAAGTACGCTTCAGCAGTACTCCAATATGCTCGCGTAGGAGGAAGCAATTATAACAGCTTTCACACATTGCCGTTCATTTGTTGACCCCCCNTTCCCCCCCCCCCCCCCCGCCACTCCCTTCCAAATCAGAAATTTCCATCCTCCTCATAAAACTTCACCATCTCACTCCCCCCCCCCTTCCAAGTACGTTCCCACAGCCTAAGAGTGGAATTGGCAGAAAAGAACACGCTAAAAAGTATATTCACATCTGAGCAAATTCAGGACTAAGAACACTTATTAATTTTGGAGAATGGTTTTGGAATCTGCACAACGGTGTTTTCATCGATTTTCAATAATGGCAACATGGCGACTAAAGATTTCTCTCGCAAATGGTAGTTGGTCTAATTCTACATCGTTATTATTATTTAAATTTGATTATGCGTGCCATTTTTTGTGAAAATTTAAATTGGCTATCGTTTGAAAATGAGAAATGATTACAATCGAAGGAAATTAAAGTAGCAACTTTCCCAGGATTATCAGTCTTATTGCCGTTTGTTCACACATTTTGTATATTGGTTAATATGTTATGAAATGATCGCGGTTTTTTAATGATTCTGAATAAATTATAAAGTCACCTTAATCTCGTGCTATTACCGAGTAAGGGGCATCTGTGGCTATTTAGGGGATAGCATGGCTATAACAGGTATCAAACAGCCGTAAGTGCAATCTCTAACATTATTTACAACTCCGAAGCAGATTTATGCAAATATCTCAAAAATCAATTCTCAGAAGCGGCTGCTACCTCGACAATTATGAATGTTCTTACCATGCTAGAACCTCTTTTTCATCCTTGTCCTTCGCTCTTTAATCTTGTCCTATTGAGCCTACATCTCTTGAAATTCCCGGCCAATCAGTCACTAAAATTACTCCTGTTCTCATTAAATGATTTTAGATTATGCGATTTCTTCAAATCGTGGTGTAATAAATACAAATAAGCCCTCAAATTGAGAAAACAAGCTTTTTGCCTATTCAGGAGACCAGATCATGTCGAATATGAGCCACGCCCAAAATACGTCCTGTCCAAGGGATTCGATCAACATGGTTGCTATGACACTGTGTAGGCAGTAGGCTTTTGGTGAGATCTACTCACTCTTGTTACTTACATTAACATTATGATCAAGCATGATGAGGGCATATATGACTTAGTAAGCTTTCATTACGAAAAATTTTGTCCGGGCACAACAGTAGTAGTACAGTTCAAGTGTCGTATTTTAACCTTCGGGCTTTAAACGAAGCCTTAGAAACCTCAAAGAACTCGCTGCTAAAATTTAGGGAGAATCCCTATTTGATGTTGCTAGAATGGCTAGAGAATAAGATGGCGTATCCCACACCTGCTTCAGTTCACATTTGTAACGACGCCATGCTCATGTGTATGGGTGAATTAAGCCATACAATTTACCACAGTTGAATCCTTCTATCGAACAGAAGCCACCTCCACATTGCCCGTGTTGCACTACCAAAAAGGTAAATATTTATCACAGTCCCTCCCCTAGCACTCCGGAACTGTTCACTCACAAGACTAGTCGAGGAAAATGTATCGACATTTTCACAAAAATAATTGCCTCTATAAACTCTTACAAAAATGCATCAGATGTCTTGGTTACCTCCCTTATCGACGCCTAACGAAGCTGGAAATACGCTGATTTACATACCAACAGGAATCATGAAGATATATAAGTGGAAAGCACTTCAAATAAAACCACGATCTCAAAGAAAGCGACAAAACCGAGCTGCTCAAAATTAGAACTAGTTTCTATTTGCAACCACAGTTTGCGGCGGATATCTGTAGGTCCCACAGAGAACCAAGCTAACCTTTTCAGTAGGAAGTCTTGAATTGATTTTCTACGAACAGGTTCTTTGAGGAAATATTTAGACAAACTAAGTTTGGCCTTTAAGGTAGCTTTATCATCGAGATTAGAGCTGCTCTATAATCTTTTGACACGGGCTGTACGTAGTTACCAGATTTTGGCTGAATAAAAAAGGAGGAACGCTCTAATTCCAAATAAAGATGCGTTATAATCTGACTGAATATAGCTAATATCTTCTAAATGAAGAGAAAGAGGGCGGATTACCATTTTCAATCCTCTTACCAATAACTCCAACTCATAAAATATAAGACAATTACGCCGTTCGAAGTATAAAAACGCATTATCATATAGAAATGCACTTAATAAATAGAAAAAAGCTACTAACACAAATAGAAGATAACCTTGATAAGAATAAATGGAAAAGTGAGATCTACAAATCGTCCAAATCAACAGTGGGAGGACCATTTCGCTTCACATATCGTCGATATCGTTTCTGATTAGTATCCTCAGCCAATCGAATTCGAGCCTCTTCGGCCTTCTTTTCAGTATAAGCCTTCAAAAAAGGAAACAAATGATCAACTACTTAAACGAATTCAGGAGCAATAATTTTGTAGATAAATTACTTTGAATTTTTCATTATTCCACAACTCGAGGCTATTGAAGTAGGCTTTCTTTTCTTCATCCAGGCTCTCCCACCTTTTTTGATTGAAGCCCAATCGCCAACTTGTGATATATTCTTTCTCTTCAGGACCATAAGAGTGACCAAGGATTTTAAAAAGAAAGATCCACCTAAGAGCCCAGTAGGTATAGGTAATTATATAGTAAGGCAAGCAAATGAGCTGTACAACTAGAGTATTGCGAACACTTGGAGGGCCACAATCACCTCTAAGGTAAATATAAATTTGCAAGAAATAAATATTTCCTACCGAACATCAAAATTTTCTGCAATAATTGTTCGGATAACTTCTTCCTCGTGGGCTTTAACTTCATCTCTATTAAGTCGTCGTCCAAATTTTTGTCGTTCGATATGAAAACGTTTAGTTGCTATAGCCTTCTCTTTAGCTTGATTGCGGTACTTTGGGTCACGAACTAAGTAGGACAAGGCCTGACTATGCTTTGTTCTCTGACTGACGTACTAGAAATCTTAGACTTATATAAAGTGAACACATACCTGTATTGTAGATAATACGATAATTAATATGACAAACACTATACGAACGTCGACCTTTGGAGAGTAGCGACGCTTGTAGTATCGATAATAATGATAGTACATTTGGTCAGGGTTGTCTAGCATGTACTCATATTCTTGCCTCTGTTCAGGATCTCGAAGAACCTTAAGTTAAAATAGCAAGTCATAGATAGGAAAGACTAACTTCATAGGCTGTTGCTATTAGTCGGAATTTCTCATCAGACTGAGGTTCATCTCCATTCTTATGACGATCGGGATGATACTTTTTGGCAAGGGCTCGATAGGCCTTTTGAATTGTTGGAGTATCAGCATCACGAGAGACTCCCAGAACTGTTAGCGTAAACATAAAAATTAACCTTTTTCATAAAACATTATAGTTTTAAAAATTAAATAACTTATTTATATGAAGTCAAAACCTCAAATCAATAAAATTAGATCGAACTTTTAAAATAATACATGAAAGAGCCCGAAAGCAAAAACACACCATCGAAACAGGTTTGCTTGCCACAGTATATGCTATCCAACTGCCCAAAAACAGAAACAGATAGACACAATAGAAGCACAAAATTACGAAACATGGACTAAGATTAACAAAACCGATGCCGTCCTATGCGTGCTAAACCGCTTAAAGGTGTATGGTCATTAGGGCGGTGTCAAAAGGTCAAATAAAATATTGATGCTGGGTATATTAAAAGATTATAAATTTACATCAAGTTAGTTGAAATGAAAAGTCAATTAACAAATTTCCGCATATAAAATAGTTTTAAATGTAATACTTGAATAAAGCTCAATCAAGTTACCATAATATAGACCAAGTTGTGATAAAATTAAAGACGACAGATTAACAATTGAGAATTTGAACATTTGTTAAGCATTCAGAAAATCGATATCTTCTATTTACTAAGATGTAGTAAAAATAATTATTTGATTTTTCGCTCTATGCAGAAAGTTAAAATTATATGAGCTAGAATAAATCACTTAATTTTTATTAACTTACTATATGAAGCAACGAAGTTGAAGGTCCGTAGTAAACCAGGTACTGATCAACATATGAAAATTAAGTAGACCCAAGTTAATTTAATAACGGAGAGCCAAATTTATATAATTATAAAAAAGAAATAAATCATTTATTTGAGTGATATTTCTTATATATTTTTAAAATAAAAGACTTATATTTCTTAAAATAGCTTGCTGCCAACGCGCGCTGTCCCATTCCTGTGTGATGTCTGCCTTAAGGCGTTTATCTTCTTCTTCGGATTCTTCGGATATCCCATCCTCTCATAAAAGAAAGAATGCAAGATCAAAGCGCCCACGCATTGAAAATAATTTGAGTGATCCCGAGGAGGGTGAAATTCCCAGTGATACTGGGGATGAGGACGACGGTTTGGACGAGGATCTTTATGGCGACGAAGAGGATAAGCAACGACTACTTAAAATGAGTGAAAAAGAGAGAGAAGAAGAGCTCTATAGACGAAGTGAGTATCGAGAAGCGCTAAAGGTAGACCTTTCTTTTGGTTTATTTTTAAACTGTGCAGATTCGAAGGGATGTCAAAAAAAGATTAAAGGAACGCAAGGAGAAGGAGAGAGCTGAGCGTGTTGGAAAAGAACCGACTCAAATTTCATCAAAAAGTTCTTCAAAACCTTTGCGAAGTTCTTATGCTAAGGTCTATAGTTCAGATAGTGACCAACTAGGGGATTCTGATGAAGCAGCCAAAAGCTCTCTTAGAGACCGTAAGCTCACTCTGGCTATGCAAAAGGAAGGTCGCTCAAAACGTCTACAGGAGTTAGCTGATAGACGAAAGGAACTTAAGAGTAAAAAAGAGGGCATGTATTCTGGTTCAGATGACTCACATTCAAATCGTTCCTCGAAGCAGCAGTACGCTCGTAATGCTATTTATTCCAGCTCTTCCTCCTGTTCTGAAGATGAAGAACCTGCTAGAAAATTGGAAAAGACTCAAAGAAGGTCAGTCACTTTATAATACCGTTTTGCTCCTATCGTATACCCTTACCATTTTTTAGTAGCTAAACTGCGTTTTAGTATTGGTTATTATAGTTCTTCAAAAAAGCCTGATAGCCATTTACTAAATTTTAATTTCATATTTTCTTTTTTCTCTGCTCTATTTTGCTTCGATGCCTAATTATATTTAGTATTTATCATACTAACTTTTACGCTCATGACATTTTTACTTGGTAATTTTGTCAAACAGAAGACAGCATTATTACGACCAGCTGTTAAGTCGGTTTCTATGACAGTTGTATATCGAGTGATGGGGATAGTCAGCCACATTGGTTAATTGCCAGAAAATAGTAGCCCTTATGATGGACCCTTCGTGTTTTCACTAAGACGTCTATACGCCTATTTAGGGGAGAAGGTAAATAGCAATTGATTTTGCTGCTTTCTGTGACAATGCTCAATTAATCATAAAAAATACCCTACGGACCTCCCACTTTTCCTATCAAAAATATTGAACACGCACTCATCCACTACACCTACTTTAGCTGCTATTCGTCTTATTTAGCGGCTGTTCATGTATAGCTTTGTCATTTTCTAGTGTTTCAAGCTATTCCCGTTCATCCTCTGCTCATTCGAGTGCTTCCAGCGATAACGAACGAGGTCGTAGCCGATCTCCCGAAGCCGAACAAATTGGTACTCTGGAGCAACTCATGCAAGTCCGACTCACCCGTGATAGACTCGAAACCTGGGTCCACTACCCGTTCTTTGATGTAAGTTTTCTTATTTCTAGCAATGATTTGATCGAATTTTTTTATTCGTTCTTACCTAAGTTGTGAGCTGTCGTTGTTTTATGTGCAGGTAATTCGGTCGCTAGGCCATCAGACCTTTAATCTGCGGTGAATACTTGTTTGCTTTTGTCCATTCGATGTCATGGTGATTTATCTTCTAGCTTCTAAATCCAGTCTTCACGGGTTCCACACTCATCGGTGCATATCCGATTTGTGAAATGATTGGCTAAGTGGTGTTAGAATTCGAGTTTCCCATCAAGAGGACTTTGTAATGCTACTACTCTGCCAAGATGATTTTCGAAACCCTTTCCAAAACAGACTTGAAAGCTATTTATTTTAGCTGCCAATATTATATTTACTAGAAGACAATACTTTCTTATTACAATTTTGTGTTTGAAAGTATCGATTTCCTCATGAAAACAGTAACTATTTCAAGATGGTAGAATCTTAAGTAGCGATATTCAACAGCCTCGAAATTATTGTACGATCTACATGACTATTTATCGATTCGGTTAGCATACTTTACAATAAAAAAATTGGCGAAAACATGTATAGTAATTTACGTGCTTTCTATTTTATAGAATTACTCGAAGTTCCAGTTTTTGAGTTCCGTGCTTTTGGCATCTTGAACTCTTTTGATTAGTAAAGATTGGACGGTATTGTCCATTCCAATTTCTTGGCTTTGAATTAGTTGCTTGACCCGAAGTAAGACTTGGTCTCAGTGTTTGATATGTGTTTTTTCTTATGCAATAGGAACTGGTTAAAGGCTGCTTTGTACGAATCCACGTTGGTGTTCAAAGTGATGTCCCCATTTATCGAATTTCAGAAATTGTTAATGTCAAGGAAATGTCAAAACCCTACGATCTTGGCAAAACTCGGTAAGACTTTTTTGGCATTTTAATTAATTTAACAACTCCCATATTTCCTCCCTACGTGAGCAACTACCCCGCTGTTATTTTTGTGTTTTAGCACAAACAAGGGCTTGGTTCTTAGACGCGGGAAAGATGAACATACCTTCCGCATTATGTTTGTCTCAAATTCCCGCTTTCTGCCCCAGGAATTTGAGAGCTTCAAGCGAATTGCTGCCCAAACCGGTATGAGGTTACCTACAATGGATTTTATTGCCAAGAAATACAGGGAAATCCAAAAAGCCATCAATGAACCTGTTTGTGATGAGAAAGTCGTCGAGCAGGTTAGTCACTAACCTATTACACATAATTTTTTTCTTATGAAAGCATACTAATTATCCTTAGAAATCATAATTAGGTAAGGGAGTACCTATTTGCAAGAATATTTCCCTCGGGCCATATCGGTTGTGCTATTACGTACCTTAATATGACTACACAAACTATGGCTATTTGAAAATTCTAGTCCTAATGTCGGTAATATTAATACTCACGCCAAGTTGGAAAGAAATCCATGCTGTCTTGTGGGTATTCGTAATAAAGGACACCAATTAGCACCCTTTAAACCTATTAATCGAAAAATCTCAAATCCTTCTTTTTGCTTATCAAATAACTGGAAGGAGAATTTTAAAAAACAATGGAAGAATTCTCAATGATTGCTAAATTCCGGGGTTAAAGTTGCCGTCGTTTTCTAATTCGGGAAAATAATTTCCGTCATTCATTTCACTAACCGTAGATAGCAGTCTATGTCTGTTTTTGCACGACTTTTAAATCTCAAATCTTTATCTAAAAATAATTTAACAATTTTCCATCTCCATTGTCTTTTGTGTTTTTTCCATTTTTTATCATCTCTTGGGGTAGAGTTTTTCAGCACTTTGATTATACAGATGATGTAGGTAATGCCTAATTGAGAAAGTCACATTTATCAGTATTAAATACTCCATAGACTGTAAGTATGCCAAAATGAGATCTGATCTCTTGAAAGGGGAGTTCACATCGGCTTCTCCACAGGTGTACAGATTGATTTCTTTCAACTTCCTATTTCCAAAAAATTTGCATTTGGTTCGACATTACTAGGTTATTGAAAGTACTTCCACCTATTTCGGCTCATTCAGTGGATTTGAAATTGAGTTTAATCCAGGTGGTGAGGTTTGTCGTGTTTTTCGCTTTTTAAATAGAAGTAATAACAAAAATGATTTCACTTGCAATTAATTCCATCTGGTATAATGTATTTCTTCTATCAGTAGGTATGTGTTAATTGTTACAGGTAGTTCAAGGTTATTGTGTCTACTCTTGGTGACCAAAATGATGCATTTTGTTCACAATTGTTATTAATCCATTGAGGTGAAGTTCGAATAAGAATCTCTAATATAGAGTTTTTCACACTTCTTCCTGTCAGATCAAATTATTATTATTACTATGCTGTCATTACTGATTCTATAATGTTGTGATAACTTTCAGAAGGTATTTTCCTCCAAGTGGTTTGATAATAACTGAAGATCCGTCGATATTTGTAAGGTGCATCTCATGTTAAATTCTAAACTTCTAATATGGGTCAGAGAAATTTTGTTTACCCGTCACCCATCTTACTGCTCTGATCCCCAATATAAAGGAAGATAGAAGAAAAATGAAGCTTTGTTAAGTGTAACTGTGTATTGAGAAGAAATAGTAAAAATTATCACAGCTGATAAACTAATAGTAAAAGGATGTTGGGTCTGTCAGAGCAACAAAGTGTTCTAAGCTAATATCGAGGACGCGTTAGTGTGGGTTTGAATACTGTAGTAGAAGTGATAAGCTACTTAAACGAATGGCTAACAATGAAACGCATCTAGTGAGTTACATTGTGCCACATTGTAGATTGTCCAATCCAAACGGCGCTTTCGTAAAGCCCCGACCAACTTTGCGATGCGAAAGGCTGAGTTGATGAAACAACGAGAAGTAGCAAAGGAGAACAACGACGAAAAAGAAGTTGAGCGAATTGACGCTGACATAGAGGAATTGGAAAGCCAAGCGGAGCGCATTGAACGAAAACGCACGGTAGGATTCAAGGAGATTTCCTCAATCAACCAGAAAAATCGTGAACTCACTCTCAAGAGGGTTGAAGAGGCTCTTTTGAAAGAAGCTAGAGAGGCGGCGGAATCAAAGGAAGAAGATCCCTTTACGCGAATTCAATCACAACCTGTCATTGCTAGCAAAGAATACCTTCAACGGCTGAGGAAAGAAAGAGTAAGCGCGCACATGATCGAAGGGTGTCTTAATTTTAGTGAACCTTAGTGTCTGATTTCAGTCCCTAGCTACGCCTTCTATTTTCTAGCAACCTTAATTACTACAACAGAATGATAGACGGTAAAGATAATTAAGACACTCGTATATTAACAGAGGTATTGGAAGGGGGAGATGGATTAGTTTGCGTTCTAGAGTAGAGTATGAATCTTCAGTGGTTGCGTCTGAGTTGACAGATTAAGTATTTATTGTTTTGAAGGCCATGGGCAAGGATTACAGTTAGAATGCTTGCTCTTTTACCCTTATGGCTAGCTATTCACTTCTATTCCCTATGAGAACAGAATGGAGAGACCACATGGTAAAGGGCTTCATTGGACAAAAAGAAAGACAGGGTGAGTGGAGGCACGAAATGCACACTTATATACGAGAACAAATGCACCTTATACCTTTGAAAATGGAAATAAATCTTTATTGAGGTCAATATTATCAAAGGCCCATACGTTGTGGGAAAGATGAAAATAATGACCGAGGTGTCTCATGAAGTGCCCACTTTGCCAGCTTGACCATAATCTTTTGACTCAGGAAAGAACTTTTTGAGTACTGGCCCTACTTTCTACAGTAGGCCCATAGTAATATCGGCAAAACAGGAATGGGCATTTAATAAGACCATTTCTCCAATGCCT